TTAATTTCAGGCACAGCTTCAGTTTTAAAACTGAAGCTGTGCCTGAAATTAACGCCTAACTCGGGGTTTCTCAGAATCTTATAAATTATGGTTGGGGAACCAATCTAGTTTCACGGATTGCCATTTGATGAAGTGGGTAAAATTTTTAAGCGCATTGAAAGTGCTATCTATCAAACCGATATCATCCAGCTCATTAAAATGTTAGCGGATAGAATGAAAATGCATTATGGATGTAGGTGATGTGGATGGACGAATGTGTTGAATTTCATCGTGCTTGGTCGGCGTTGCAGTTCTTCTTCTGTCAGCCACCCCTTTCGAGCGCAGAGGGCATTGAACAAGCCACCGAACCGCTCGTTGAGTAGGCATTTTTCAATTTTATAGCGTTTATTTGTTATATTGATACGCATTACCTTGAGAATACTTATGTATGTAACTGTTTCAGTGGTTCGCTTGTTTTGTAATAATGATGTTTTCCTTCCTTGAACGAATTGATGTATCAAGCATTGAATAGTAGTTGCGTTTCATTTTTTAAAATGATTGCTTATTGTCGGTTATCTCCGAGTTTATTGAAAATGAAATAGTTGGACCGCGCATCACATGATTGGTTGCATTCAGCGATGCTTTTCAGAGTATACTCTCGAACAATAGTGAATTAAGCTCTGTTCGAATCAGTGAATTGCTCATTTGCAGAGCAGTATTCGGTGACGGTTTACATTGGGCTGGTGCAACAATTATTGTCTTATTGGGTCAGCAGCGTCGTTTTGAAGTGCTCGATTTTTGTTATCACTTATTGCGTATGCATCGTGCTGACGGTAAAGACGACCTTGTCCATGGCATTGTAAGTTTCACTCCTTTTCGTTCACGCTTCCTAACCCTTTTATTTGTCCCAATTCGTTAATTATCCATCCCATAGGCGTAAGTATAAATGAAACAGCCATCTCGTTCTCCTCTTAAATTAGAACTATTATAATATAGCTGTTTTGTTATCGCTAAAAAACACGTTCTGAAATCTTCGAGTGTAATTTATAAAAATATTGAATTGACAGGTTTTTTATGCTAGCAGCTTATCAGCTGTATTGCAGAAAGTATCGAAAATGGTTGAGCGGATCAGACGTTTTCAGTTGCTTAACAGTCAAATTTTTGGTGTGTTAGCCAACTATTCAAATTTAACATCTGAGAACGGCGACGAGTCAGTGGAAGAAAATGCGCGCGAGTTTGCGCCTCCAGTGCATCATTCAGTTGCAAGACAGTTTCCCTCTCAGGATTGAACTACATCCGTCAAGTCGATTTTCACTTTATTCATTTTTTAGCAGTAACTGCTTTAATTTTTGTTAGTTTATCCACTTGATGCAGGAGACATGTTTGTTGTTGTATTATACGTATACGTATGCGATTATTGAGAATTGTGCGATTTTTGAATTGCGTCTAATTGACAAATAATTCAGTCGAAGCAGTATGTGTATCTGTACGCTTGTGACATTCATCAGTTTCTTTAAATTCAAATCTTATGCATAGATCAAATTGATTAGTTCCCATACAACCTAAAGATGTTGCAATTTTTTCTTGTTCACAGCATATAGTTATAGACTTTTGATTGCATTTATCTTGACATCGTGGAACTTTGCCTTGAAAAAGGGCAGTCAGTGTGCTTAGGCAAGGGACATACCTGACTTTCCACTAAGTTTTTGTGCATTACTTTTGTATATTTTCGAGTGTGACATTCGATTGCAATGTTCGCCATGAATTGAAATAATGATCACGCGAAAATACTTTGAAATTATTTGGTTATGAAGTGACCATTCAAGCATACGGAGATACGAACTTTTGCTATTTAAAGTGAATATAATGAATGCGGGACGAAATAATGCAGACGTGACTGTGTGTAGTTTACAACCATCGAAGTAAACACGTCAATCGAGTGAAGAATTTGTGTGGCTATTCTTCGGAATGAAAATCTTAGCGAAAATAGTCGATGTATAAGTTGTTCAGTGTCTGAATTAAAAGTTTTCACTCAATACGAGACTGTTGGCTAGTTCTACTTTTGATTCCAGAACTAGCGTTCCATTTTTGTTCGTATTTTATTCTTCCTTTGTGATCATGATTGTTACCGCAATGATTTGAATGTTCGTTTACGCGGCCTGTCCGTTTTGATAAGCATTGTTATTATGTAAGAAATATGCGTATGGTCGAGATAAGAGGATGTTGTACCTTATCAGAAGTGTTGACTCTTCTTCGAAAGCTGATGATAGCACTGATTCTACTGATATCCTTGTTAGTATATGATCAGCTTTATGTGACATATTTGTATGTTTTTTACGTTTTACTTTGTTCAGTTTAAACGCTGTTGATGCCTTGTGATTAGTTATTTACAAGTTGATAATTGATTGTTGAGATTTGCTTTAACTTATTTAATACCCATTTTCAGTTTATCTCCAATTCAAGTAAAACCATTTTCCTCTGCTTTTCTTTGATACACGCAAATTTTGTGCGTTAACCAATAGCGTCGGTACGTCGGTGAAATTTTTTAACGTCTATCTATAAATTGCCGACAACGTGTCGTAGGATTTAAAAGCATCATTTAAAATATCTCATTAACATAAGGCAAGCTATTTTAACACCACTCCGTAAAATATCTTGGTTCCAAATTCGAAAAAATATTGTGTCCTAATAGATTTCCGCAGTCAAAATTTTTTGGCCCAGATACAACTCAAAGTTTATAAAAATGTGGTAGATTGTTGGGGATGGATTGGATGAACAGAGTAATTAGAGGCTAAACTTCCAAGTACAGTTGTTTTAGTGTCCACATTCTGAGCGAATGAGGATGAAGCAGATACCATTTGGCAAGCCTTTCCAAAAGCAGCAGACACTTGCAAAGAATTTAAAGCATAGCATAGACGTCAGTTTTTTTAAAGATTCGTTGTCATCAATACGCTGGATAATATACATTAAAAATGTCTCTTTTGATTAAAGATTTTGAACGCATTTGTTGCATGCCACAAATTTAATTCGTAGTCTATGTAACCACAACTAGGAGTGCCCATCGAAAGGTTTGTGTTATTGCTTGCACCATATCATATTGAACAATGCACAGGAAAGTGGTGAAATGAAGATACTACCCTTCAGAAGCAATTCAGCGGTGCGACTGAACTGCTTCCGAAGGGTAATATCTTCATTTCACCACTTTCCTCTGCATTGTTCGATATGGTGAGATTCAGCTATTTTAAACTCATTCATTCTTTGCAGGGAATCACCATTTTGTGAATATCAACTTTTAATTATAGCTATAAGAATCTGATCCCATCTCCGTCATCGGTTCTCATTGTCGCTGTTTGCACATCTTTCAACGCATTCATTCACCTTGCATGGATAACGTGAATTTTTTCTGTGTGTGATACGATTTGACAAAATTAGTGCAAAAAAGTGAGACAGAGAGGATTTCGACAGCTCAAAAGATCTCA